AGAAGATGGAAACAGGGAAGGAAAAAGCAGCTTAGAGAAACAATTCAGCTGGGGGGCATGTAGAGTATGAGGAGGGGGTCGGGGGTGGGACAGGCCAGAGACACTGCTTCCAGGGGCTTGGGAGGGAGAGGACCAGATGATGGGGCTTGAAGTTTTTTGTCTTTTTTTTTAAAAATCAGTTGCCCGGGGTGGTTGCGTGGGCTCATGGCCTGCTAATCCCGCACTGTTGGGAAGGCCTGAGGGGCGTGGAACACCTGAGGGGTTTAGGGAGGGGTTTGGGAGACCAGGCGCTGGCCAACACGGTGAAACGAGCGTCGGCTGCTAAAAATTACAAAAATTGAGCCAGATGTTGGGCGGGGGACCTGTAATCCCCAGCTACTTCGGGGGCTAAGGCAGGGAGATTGCTGAACGTCGGGAGGCCAGGAGGGGCCTTGCAGTGGGCAGCCAAGATGGCGACATTGTACCCAGCCCCTGAGTGACAAGAGTCAGGACTCCGGCTCTCAAAAAAAAAAAAAAAAAAAAAATCGTTATAGGCCAAGGAACAGAGAGTGGCTCATGGGGGCCTGCAGATCCCAGCACTTTGGGAGGGGACCAACGCAGTACCGTGAAGTCATGAGTTTGGGCCAGCCTGGCCAACATATGTGAACCCCATCTCTACTAAAAATACAAAAATTAGTCAGGCATGGGCAGCACATGCCTGTAATCCTCCCTACTAGGACGGCTGAGGGCAGGAGGAAACCCCTTGAACTTAGAAGTAGAGGGTTGCAGTTGGAGCTGAGATTATGTGCCACTGCACTCCAGCCTGGCAACAGAGAGAAAATCCAATCTCAAAAAAAAAAAATCAGGTTATCATTTCCAGCATGGTGGCCCACGAACTATAATTCCCAGTCTTTGGGAGGCCCGAGGGTGGGGTTGCGATCACTTGAGCTTCCAGAATTTGAGACCAGCCCTGGTAACCATGGTGAAACCCCAGCTCTATGAAAAACACAAAAAGCTAGGGCGTGTTGTGCGCAGCCCTTCAGTCCCAGGTCTACTTGGGAGCGTCATGTTGGAGGATCACTGTGCCCAGGAGAAGAGCTACTCATCCCCAAAATAACTAAATAAAAGATAAATGGCCAGGCGCGGGCTGGCTCATACCTGCTAATGCCCAGAACTTTGGGGAGGCCGAGGAAGGCAGAGTTCATGAGGTCAAGAGATCGAGACCCATCCTGGCCAACAGGGGTGAAACCCCGTCTCTTTACTAAAAATTACAAAAAATATAACCAGGCATGCTCTGGGCACGCGCTGTTGAGTTCCCAGGCTACCTGCGGGAGGCTGAGGCAGGAGAATCACTTTCAAATCTGGGATGGGCAGAGTGTTGCAGTCGGCCGAGATCGCACCACTGCACTCCAGGCTTTTGCGACAGAGACTCCGTCTCCAAAAATTAAAAATAAATAAATACATAAAACAAACGCATATGGTTGGCTCGACACTGTAATCCCAGCACTTTCCGAGGTCAAGGCAGAAGGATTGCCTTCGAGCCCAGAGTTTAGGAGACCAGCGTGTGGCAACATTGGTACAAAACCCCACGTGGTGCTACTAGTAAAACTACTATAAAATTAAGCCCAGGCATGGGTCGGTTCTCTGCTTGTGGTCCCAGCTACTCCGGCTGACGGCAGGAAGACTTGCTTTGAGCACATGAGGCTGGGGCCTGCAGTGAGCCGGAGATCCCACCACTTGAACCAGCCCTCCCGGGAGATCAAGCGAGGCCTGTCTTCAAAAAAAAAAAAAAAAAAAAGAAAAGAAGAAAAAAAGAAAGAAACCTACTTAGGTAGGGTTGCGTTGTTGAGGATTATACGGAACAGGACAACATCTTCACAAGCCATATAGGACCATAGAAAAGGTCTTTTTGTCGTGTATTATTTTTTGAGAGCCAGAATCTCACTCTGTTGCCCAGGCTGGAGTTGCAACAATGGCGCTGATCTTCGGTCTCACATGGCAACCTTCCACCTCCCGGTTCAAGTTGATGTCTCCTTGCTCAGGTCCTCCGCAAGTAGCTTGGACTAGAGGCGCATGCCACATCGCCCAAGCTTAATTTCTGTATTTTTAGTAGAGACGGCGGGATTTCACCAGGTGTTACCCAGGCTGGTCTCAAACTTCCTGGTCTCAGAGTAATCCGCCTGCCTTGGCTTCCTGAAGTGCTGGGGAGTTACAGCGTGTGAAGCCACTGCTCTGGCCATAGTAGAAAGGGT